AAGTATGACTTGAACCAGTCACAAGCCGAGTCGTCCACACCGTAGCATTTCAGTTGTGAAGCGACGGATATAAGTTCCCCTACCGTGGTGCTACATACGGCCATATGCGGTTGCGACAACATAAAAGAAAGAAGAAACAAAACACAGGGACAACAAGAAATCAGATATTTCGGCTTCCTGAATTATGCAATGATCAATGTCGACTACAAATTAGTACTGGCTCTCGGCAAGATTCTGAGGTGTCTCTTCTCTATTTTACCTGTAGATTTGGTGTGTTCATCCATTTTTTATATTCCGCCGAGTAATAAAATTACCGAGTTGTCATAAGTTCTTACTATCACATATCAATACGCTTACGGGGCCTTACGAACACATACGTCAACGTCATGTTAACCACCGCAACTTCTACTGTAATGTGTCTGCTCAGTCATCCCTGAGGCTCCTCTGTTCAGTGTGCAACAGTTATATGTACGAAAATGCCACGGGCAGCCTCGTTTTGTGGTTTCTGTGAAAATTCACAAAAACTCTTATTATTTCAGTTAATGGCAATGTTTTTGCCTCTGTGGTTGATACGTTCCTATATGTACAAAACAGTCTTGAAGGCATAAAACGTAGGAAGGCACTATGAGGATGACCCATTACTTCTTCTTCTAATCATCTTCCTATTTCCCTTGCAGCAAGCCATCAGCCGTCTCCCATTACATTGTGTAGGCGCCACGACCGACTTTGATACTGCCGGCTGAAATCCAGCCCTCTCCATATAACCACCTGCGCGATCTCTAGTATGTAATGTATCATGCCCAGCACTATATGTATGGTTCGTCGTATATGCTTCAATCAATATACGCCTAGGAATACTCCCAAGGTTCGACTGATATTAGCTCTAATTACTGATATTAGATATAAGAACAACAAGGAAAGTTTCTGTTTCACATGTCTACCTACACGACCGGTGCAATGGCCAAGTGGTTGGGTGCTCGTCTTGCATTCGGTAGGTTGTGAGTTCGATCCCCGGACGATCCCCAAGACTTTAAAAATGGTATATACACACACCACTACCAGTGGACTAGCCCCCTGCTGTAGTGCTTGCACAACTGTGAATTCCAAGGGCTACACAACCGGAGATGGGCACCGCCCTATGCACCATATGGTGCGGGGAGGACTTTTAACCTACACAACAGAGAGATTAACGTGGCTTTCCCCTCACAGGTCACTCGGATTGAATAAACCACGTAATTTTAGCTTGATGAAATCATATTAGCGACTCAATAGATGATACAAATCCGTCCTTTAAATTTCTGCGCTCCAACCGTTTCCAGAATGGGACTAGCTCAGTGGAAGTGTGAATACATCACACTGCATATAGCTTAACTAGTACACCATGAGACTAGTGATAACCCTCGCTTGTTGGTAATCATTCCCACGTACCTCGTTGTGCGCAATGTCATTCCGGTTATCTGTGAAGGACTAAGTCGCCATTAACATGTCGAGAGGAAATCCCATTAGTCCGTTTGCAGAAGGAGAGGGCCATTTCTTGGAGCCGAAATTGCCTTTTTATTGGTTTTCCACTGGTTCTTTTCGCCTGGATGGCATCGACGTAAGGTTTAGTCCGCCCGATGGTCGATTGTATATGATGGTAGCTATTTTCGGACTAAACCTGACTAGGATGAAACACAGTCCAGGACTTCCTGTGAATCGCATTAGGAATATAAAGCAGTAGTTCAAAGTGCAGACGTTAAATGATACAGAAAAACAGAGTTATGCCGATGCCAAGATCAGTTAGAGCGGCATCAATCCATCCCATTCCTATAAGCCAGTAGAAGTAGTAAG